CCTTATAGATTTCTATAAAAATGGAGACAAATCAGAAGAGGCAGAAACTATCAGAGGTTTATTTCCCTTCTTTGTAGAGAATTCTTTGCTACCTACTATAAGATTGGTTCTAGGGCTAGTGAAATGGTTCATGGTCTATCTTAAGACCAGTTTCCTCATGGATTCTTTTCTAGGCAGTCATTTTGCAGGGAGGTGAGGAGAGGAGAGGAATCATCATCACTTGGTATTAACACATGGTCTTCCCTTTTGAGCCTTTCATAATTTCACTCCTTTAACAATTTTTATTGGTCTCACTGCCATTTTCCTTAACCCTCTCCAGGGTTCTGTTGATTTTGAGTGGTCATGTAACCTGGGCTTAATCATAGAAAGTTAGGAAGAATCAATCTAGTAGACTTCAGTGCAAGAAAATGTGATACTTTAAGACAGGATTCTTAAGCTAGAGGAAGGAGGTGTTTTTGAACTCTGAAATGTTGTGCAAATTTTTTGTGAATGTAAATTTTTCTGGGGAGAGGTCCAAATTTTTATTTTAACACAGCGGTCTGTTCTTTTCAAAAGTTTAAGAGCTACTGTTTTAACCATTGATTTCAGAAAGCCTTGTAGCCCAGGGGTAGTCCTGACTACTTAAGTTGGAACTCTGTTGTTCTCTGAGCCTGTAGCACATGCTGTGCTATGTGCTTGTGAGGTCACAGGGGGCTTCTGTGGCTTCCAAAGAGTGAAGAGGAGAGTAGCATGGAGGTAGCATCTGAGAGCAGATGAGGATGCCATGCATCTCTCAGGAAGGATATTAAGCTCTCCAAGATAGGAGAGTGCAAAGTGGCATCTTATAATTTCAGATAAGAAATGATGAAGACCAGAGAAGGTCCAACAGGCTTCGACCTTCTGTGTGTTCTGGCTGGTTCTTAATAGGCCTTTGGATTTTATGTTGAAGGATAAGGATACAAAAGGCAGTGTTCCTAATTTCCTAAAATGTAGCCTTTTTTTTTTTAATTTCTGTTGTGTTTAGTTATTCTTTTGGGTTGTTATTACATTATACCTTGTTTTACATCACTATTTGCATATATATCTTCTCTTAGTTTACAACCTTTTGAAGGCATGACCCTGTGGTTTTCAACGTTGGATACTCTGCAGTGCTCATCATAGTGCTTTGTCCATAGGAGGTGCACAGAATTTTTTGTTGTGTATTTGCCCTAGGGATGCCGTTGACGATTTTCACCTTATTAGATATTCAACTTTATAACAGTCCAAGGGTGAAATTTCTTTTAGGGCTTAATCATTATTTTTTTTTTTAATTGAAGTATACAGTTTACAATGTTGTGTCACTTTCTGGTGCACAACATAATGTTTCAGTCATGCATATGCATACATATATTCGTTTTCATATTCTTTTTCATATAAGTTACTACAAGATACTGAATATAGTTCCTGTGCTATACAGAAGAAAATTGTTTATCCATTTTATGTATAGTAGTTAGTATTTGCAAATCTCAAATCTCCCAGTTTATGCCTTCGGCCCAGCAACCATAAGCTTGTTTTCCATGGCTGTCAGTCTGTTACTGTTTTGTAGTTAAGTTCATTTGTGTCTTTTTTTTTTAAGATTCCACATTTGAGTGATATCATATGGTATTTTTCTTTCTCTTTCTGGTTACGGTCTCCAGGTCCATCCATGTTGCAGCAAATGGTATTATTTCATTCTTTTTTATGGCTGAGTAGTATTCCATTGTATAAATATATGACAACTTCTTTATCTAGTCATCTGTCGATGAACATTTATGTTGTTTCCATGTCTTGGCTATTGTAAATAGTGTTGCTATGAATGTTGGGGTGCATGTATCCTTTTGAATTAAAATTCCCTCTGGATATATGCCCAGGAGTGGGATTGCTGGATCATATGGTAAGTCTACTTTTAGTTTTTTAAGGAATCTTCGTACTGTTTTCCATAATGGCTGCACTAAACTACATTCCCACCAGCAGTGTAGGAGGGTTCCCTTTTCTCCACACCCTCTCCAGAATTTATCGTTTGTTGACTTTTGAATGATGGCCATTCTGACTGGTGTGAGGTGATACCTCGTTGTAGTTTTGATTTGCATTTCTCTGATAATTAACCATGTTAAGCATTTTTTTTCACATGCCTATTGGCCATTTGTATGTCTTCCTTGGAGAATTGCTTGTTTAGGTCTTCTGTCCATTTTTGGATTGGGTTGCTTGTTTTTCTGTTATTAAGTTGTATGAATTGTTTACATATATTCTGGAGATTAAGCCCTCTTCAGTCTCATCTTTTGCAAATACTTTTTCCCATTCTGTAGGTTGTCTTTTTGTTTT